TGAGTTTAAATATATTCATGTATATATATGAAAGATGCAAGACTACAATCGCTAGTCAGATTTATAATGTTAATACATTTCTGTAACACGAGAAATATGATGATGCTTAGTAATAAATAATAGTTTCATTAGCTTCTTAGGCAACTGGATAACAGAATCTATGGATTTATATTCAACAGGTTGCTCTTAACATCAAGCATTTTCTCAAAATTGTATTAGAAAATCTAATAGAAATATGGGAATTTTAATAATGGAGTAAATTTTGTAAAGGTTCTGATGTTGTTAGATTGGTAATACAAGCTCTTACTTTTTTTAGGATAATTACAATAAAATGGTCTCTGAACCAAAACCTAAAAAGCCAAGAAAAAAGCCAAAGCCCTCTGCTCTGACAAGGCCTACTAAAAGGAATAAGAAGAAAAAGAAACAACAAAATATCCGTCCCTTATCACCCTCATTAAGTTCTCACCTCAATGAAAGTGGTATGTTTTTTTTTTTAAATGTAAAAAATATATATATTCTTATAATAATATTTGTACATTACTAGCTGTATTTTATGTTATTAATAATAACCAAGTTATATTTTTGATTGAAAATATGATAGTTGGAAGAAATTTATAAACAGTATACATCATATGTAAATATCTTATCATTTAACTGCTTACAAAAGCCTTTTATCAGCTTGGCCAGTGAATAATCTGTATTCTAAAACTCTTAAGTAATCCTTCATGAATGTTATGGTATTCTGATAAGGGGTAAACTTAGCTAGTCTAACCCTTTCCAGACTGGAGAGCTGTCACTGATATATCTTAATTTTGTTTCCCTTGTCTTCGAGAAATATTTAACTGAGCTCTATAAAGCTTAGTACAAACTTCCTAATTAGCATTAAGTTTGAGCTTGGTTTAGTATTTTTGTTTAGGTTGAGATGTCTCCAGAATTTCATTGTGAGACAAAACAGTAAAATACTTCCTTTGGTCATAGAAATAAATCCATTTTATATATCTGGTCAGTTTAACTTGATTATATATCTTTTTTAATAAATCCATTTTATATATCTGGTCAGTTTAACTTGATTAATATATCTTTTTAATACCTTATTTAATAAATCCATTTTATATATCTGGTCAGTTTAACTTGATTAATATATCTTTTTAATACCTTATTTAATAAATCCATTTTATATATCTGGTCAGTTTAACTTGATTAATATACCTTTTTAATACCTCATTTAACTAATTGTAGTAATCACCACTTCTGTTCTTAAACTATAAAGAAAATGCAACAAATATAGGTTTTTGGTAACCTTTGACCTGACCTTTCAAAATTGCATCACAGACATTGGTGAAAAAATTGTCTGTTAAATCTGAATATTTTATTTATATAAATGCTTTACTCACCTAATGAAAAGGAATAGTTTGTTTTGATTTTTTATTATTATTTTCTGTTTCATAGAAATGTGAAGTACCTGTTTTTAATATGGTATGAATTAAAAATTTAACATGTTAGATCTGTTTTACATCATCATTTTAAAAATTTAATATTTTCAAAAATGTGTATTTAGAAGAAAATAGCAGTACCGTTACAAAGAGTGAACCGGTGTCTGTAGAAGAAACAGAACCACCAGTTGATGCAGGGGAAGTAAAGGATCTAGGTGGACAGCTTAATTCAGACTTAGGCAGTGACTTGGATGAACAGTTATCACCAGGTAGGTATTTCTGCACTATTTTGTGCTGTTATGTAGAAATACTTTATACATCAGTAGGACAGATATCATGTGATGATTAACACTTTAGTTAAGGAAATGTTTTTGAACCTTTCTCAGTAAACTTACTTTGTGTTTAGGACAGAACATATCGTGACCTGTGGACTATAAATCCTGTAGAGCTCATGTCAAAGAATATTTTTGTTTATAATTTCTTTCTAGTTACACTGCCACTTACAATTAAGCTTGCATTTTGAATGTAAATAATACATTTCATTGAATAAAAACAAGTTAAATGAACAGTTCCCTTAGTTCTCAGTGTTTCATAAGAATTATCTTAGTTGTTGATATGATTAAATAAGAAGCTTTAAGAACTTGTGAGGGATTGCGGAATTATTTTATGTGCTTCACACTGTGTAGAAGTTAAGTAAAAATATAATATTTCAAATGTTTTGTTGCAGCACTGAGTTTGGAAGCTATAGTAGTATAGGCACCAAAATAATAGTGTTTAGTTGGGTTGATTTAGTTCCCAGTCTACTGGATACTTTTGGAATATATTATGGATTGATATTATGCATAAAAATAAAATTGCATGTTTTGATTTTTATTGATTTTCAGCACATTCCAGATGAAAACATTTGTATCTGTAAATTTTTTCTGAGAATTTTTGTGGATTTTTTAACTGAGTGTTTCTTTATTTACATTTAGGAAGTTTATAGAACCATCTTCTGTATTCAGTGTAGTGTTACAAGTACCATAGTTAATGGGCTTTCCATTTATAAACCTTGTCTCTGTATGTATGTTGATGAGATATAGTGTTACAAGTACCATAGATAATGGTCTTTCCATTTATAAACCTTGTCTCTGTAATTATCTATGGTACTTGTAACACTATATCTCATCAACATACATACAGAGACAAGGTTTATAAATGGAAAGTCCGTTATCTATGGTACTTGTAAGGACTTTCCATTTATAAACCTT